CAAAAGTGAGTGGAATGTGGACGCCAATTCCTCTTTCACCGAAGGTAAGCAGCTGCTTCCAGCAGAAGCCGACTCCTCCTTAAGAATTCCCTCTATACACGCTTGGCAGAGAGACTTGGTATAGGCAGGGTTAAGTTAAACTCCACATACAGCACTTTTTTCTTGGTACACTCCTGGACTTTTCTGGGGCGATGGCATGCGAAAGAAAGGTCTAATTACCCTGGGAGGATTAATAACCCTTTAGTGCTTAGCTTAACACCTAAAAACCCACCACTAAGGGGCCCTAGGTGAAGTGCAGAAAGTCGGAGCATCAGGGAAAACAGAAGTATGCCTGCATCCACCACCGCCTGTGCTGCCTCTATGGCAGATAGCATGTGGTCCAGCTGCCGGAAGAATATGAGCCAGGAAGCTCCAGCCAGACACTTCCCCTGAGCCGAGAACGAGGCTTGGAACGCAAGACCCCCGGACGCCCAGGAGTGACGTTTCCCCCTACCAGAAGTGACACACTTAGTCATCCGGGCCGATCGTGGACGGCGTCCCGAGGCTCCAGCGAGGCACAGACCGGCCTACTCACCCAGCCTGCACTACCTGAGCCCAGTCAAGGGGGGAAACCCACCCCGGTCAAGGCCTTCACCAGGCATGGAAAGAAAGGGATGTCCAGATACCTACTTACTTCTCGGAGGAGTCTGGCAGCCAAGGTGAGGAAAAAACCTGAAGGGAAAAAAACCCAACAGCAGCATGCCGAGGTATCTACCCTCAAACAACGCTCCAAAAGGTGAAGCATCTCCTCTGAACGGAGGAAACACAAACTGAGGAGCATCCTGTGTGGGCGGTTACACAGTTAGTCAGGTTGAAAAAAGACACCATCGAGTCTAACCCTTAGAGTTGCAAAAAAAAAAAGCCTAAACAGAATGTTATGCCCACAATTACCCCCTGTTGATTCAGAGGAAGGCAAAAAAAAACCCCTATAAAGCATGGTTCAATTTGCTCCAACAGGGGAAAAAAAAAATCCTTCCTGATGCCATAAGGCAATCGGATATTCCCTGGATCAACAATCTCTGGTGCTTAATATACCTATAATAACTCAATATCTAGTAATATTCTGCGCATTTAGGAATACATCCAGATTAAACAGTATGGGGCCCAAACACTGAACCTTGGGGGACACCAATAACAACCTCAGACCATTCAGAGTATGAAGCATCGATCACCACTCTCTGAATACGGTCTTTAAACCAGTTTTCTATCCAATTAAAGATTGAAAACTCTATACCTACTGACCTTAACTTATACATTAGCCCCACATGGGGAAAGGTGTCAAACGCTTTTGCAAAGTCCAAGCATACTATAGCCACAGCCATTCCTCTGTCCAATTTATTACTCACTTCCTCATAAAAAGAAAGTAGATTTGTTTAACAACTTCTGTCTTTTGTGAATCTGTGCTGACTATCACTGATGATATTATTGTCAGAATTCCAGCAAGCAGTCATAGAACTGGCACTGTGAGAGCCATTGCGCATGCGCGTTTGAAACTGTTTCGTGCTGGTAATGCTCGTAATCGGGAAACTTCGCCTAGACGCTAATGAGCGCGTTTACGTGCACACGCTAATGTGCACGTTTATGTGCAGACGCTAATGCGCATGTTCACGCGCAACAGCGCTGAAGTTTAATCAATAGCGCCAAAAGGCCTATTTAAACTTGCATCTTGCATGCACTCAATGCTGAGAGTTCTTCAGCTAGTGTCTGACGTTGTTTCTTGATTCCCGATTGCTCTGTATCTGACCCGGCTTGAGCCTCTGACTCTGCTGCTCTCCACCTACTCCACCACTCTGCCTCTTGTCTGCTGATTTGGCACCACTTGACCTCGGCTTATCCTGACCCAGCTTCTGTCTTCTGACTGCACAGCTCTCCAGTTACTGACCCTGCCAGGCTTGTCTCTGCTTATCTGGATTCCTGGTATCCTGCCTGGTGCTTCATTCCGATGTCTTCAGCATCTGTACCCAGTGGCACCCATGCCCCATGAAGTCCGTTTGGCCCTGTTCCTCTCAGGCGCGCTCAAGACCAGTGCTGCAAAGGAAGGCCCTTCTTGTTATCTCAGACTCACATCCGGTGCATGACAATAATTTTCAAGCAAAAACAAGTGCATGTGATCCTTGCTCAAACTTTCAAGTATCTTCCCAACTATTGAAGTTAAGCTTAGAGGTCTGTAATTACTTGGTAGGACTTTGATCCCTTTTTAAATATAGGCACCACATTGGCCTTGCGCCAATCCATCGGTACCAAGCCAGTCATTAGAGAGTCTCTAAAAAACAGATACAATGGCTTTGAAATTATACAGCTTATTATTATTATTTCATGGGGATGGCAACATCAGCAACAACATTTTTACTGTAAACTCTCTAAAAAAAAAAAGACTAGAGGCCACCACCTAAAATTGGTGGAGAAAAAAAGATTCAAACCACAAAGGGCTTAATTTCAGTTAGAGTGGTTACATTTTGGAACTCTCTTCCACAAGCAGTGTTATCAGCAGAGAGTATTGACTCATTGAGGAAGGCATCTAAACTATGTTTAAGAGACCATAACATACACGGGTGCAGGTACTCATAAAAACTAGACCACACAGCAACTCACATACACACACGCACACAAAGGATGAACTTTATGGACCTGTGTCTTTATTCCACCTTAAATACTATGTAACTATTTATGGATCCCAAAATCGTCATGATTAAATAAAATCTAGCTTCTCCCTTAGTGCAAGCTACATAGCCTGTGTTCTGCATAAAAGCTAAAACAAAAGGCTTAAATAGGAGTACACTTGATAGCGCAAATGGAAGAAGCTAGAGCAATTACAATTCCCTTGACCAGTACGGTCAGATCTGGGCAGCATGGCGATACTACAAGAAAACAGGACTTTTGTAATAGCCTAAATCAACATAGCCCAAATCAACTACAAGCAATTTCTGGCTCCGAGGCATGATTTTACCTCACAAAATGATTACTCTGTCACAGTAAACAACAACCTTTGTTTAACAAATTTAGAAAGCACACTCGTCCCCTACAAGCCAGACTGGGAATGGAGTAAATTCCTCCTTCCCTAACTTTCCTTACCAGCTCCCCAGTATCTATTATGTATATTTACTAGCTCTTTCCTTTCACACTTTGAAGTCTTCTAGTATATAATGCACAACTTATGAAAAACCTTGGCTCCCACAACAATTACCTGCTATGGAAACTCCTGCTAAAAGAAGCTGTTGGTATTGATCACACAAGAGGATTGGATTAAATTAAAAGTTAATGCTCTATTGCAGCTTAATTTATGTAAACACCGTCACACCTCCCTTTCTATATGGTAATATACTAGAGAAATATTTAATGTGTTTTCCTTAACCCCTTCGTGACGGGAGACGTACACTGTACGTCCAGCCACAAAGGGACCAAATGACTCGTCACGTACACTGTACGTGACGAGTTATTTGCTGCACTAGAAGGCTGCTAACCGCTGAGAATCAGCGGTTACCTTTCAGTAATAGATGTCTAACTATCTAGAGATCCATTACTGAAAGGGTTAACCTTTTTCAGACACCCGATACCTTAATATCGGGTGTCTGAGAGTCACAGCAAAGCAGACACACATGTCGGCTTTTGCCGGCATTCTGACAGCTCGTATAGATCGAGAGATATCTCTCTCAAGCTATACTGGCTTTTTTTTTTTTTTTTTTTTTTGACTTTCAAGAATAGATACAAAATGTTATGTATTAGACACATAATGTATCTATTCTTGAAAGTAGAATGTTTAAGTTTTCTGAAACATTCACTGACAGCTGAATCCTGAACTGCTGCAGGATCAGTGTCACTAACTTATTATCGGCTGTTCTGAAGTTTGAAGCAGCCTGATAATAAAAAAAAATGTATTAATTTATCAAGCAGTAATAGTGAGATTAATTCACAATGACTGCCTGATATAATTAAATAAATAAAATTTGTCAGTATAAAAAAAGTGAAAAGTGTAAATAAATTTAAAAAAATAGTGAAAAGTGTAAAAAAATTAAAAATAAGGGACAAATAAATGAATGTATGTATTGCATTTTTTTTTAGCTGTGCTGGTTTTGTTAAAAAAAAATACTACAAATCAAAACTGGGAAAAAAAGTTTTTTTTTACGTTTTTTCCTCTTTTTTTAATTTGTATTTGTCCTAAGTGAGGCGTTAGACACACATATGTGATATAAATATATAGCCCTATCTGTCCTCTAAAAAACAATATATAATATGTGTGGGTGCACTTTGTAAGAAAGTATATTACTGACGTGGAAGAATCACACAGCAAAAATGTCAAAAGTGTGTCAGTCATTTAGGAAACAGAAACCAAAAACAAGCTCAGTCATGAAGGGGTTAAGATCTATATGTCAATTTCATTGTACTACACTATACATCCTGAATAAATATAATTGAAAAAAAATGTGTGCATGATGGATGTAGAAGGGGTTATAAGCCCCTAGGACTAGGCCTACAGTTTTATTTTCTCTGATTTTCTAACCCTCTTGTAAGTGGCAGTAAACCAGTTGACTTCAGAATCCTGTGTCACTCAATAGAGATGGCAGAGAACAAGCAATCCTGCAGTTACTGGTTGCTTGCACGCAAATTCTCACTTTCCCTTTCACCCTTCAAAAATCAGAAAGCTAAAGCCAAGCTGAACTTATTTTATGTAACACTATCGCAAAAGAAAGCAAAATCAGTGTCACATGACATACCTGTCATAATCATCTATCTTCTGTATCTTTGTATAATATGTGCACTTTATCTTGAGAAGTGGACTATCCACCTCTTAGCCTTTAAATGTGTGCTGTGTTTGGCAGGCAACCCTATGGTAATGCTCTCAAGCACATCATACACTGCAATACAACTGGAAACACTCTTCACCATATGTAGTATGGTGATATGTAGTATGGTGATATGTAGTATGAACCTGCATATCTATACAGCGTACAAGAATTTCTAACCTTCCCCTTGGACGATCTCCCCACTTCTTCTGATTTGTTTTTTTTCCTGGTTCTGAGGCTTGGCTTTTTTTTAAGGTTTTCTTTACCTAAAACATCAAAAATACATTTCCATTACAAGCTTTAGGGTCAAATCCATTTGCAGCACCACTTTAAAAACAACAACAGTAACAGCTGATACATACAAACATTTCAGAAATGCTGACCTTTTTATTACTGTCAGAATATGATCCAGACTTCCCTATTTCCTTCTTAGTGTTTGCAGAAGAAAACGTTGCCTTTTTGTAAATCTCTTGTTCAGAATCAGAATCAGATGAAAGAGCCCGCTTTACTGGTTTAGATGGCCTTTTTTCACTACTGATGCTGTTACTATCACTGTCTGCAGCATTTCCCTTGTCTGCTTTCTCTTTTTTTTTTTTATCCTCTTCTTCCCTTTCCTCTTCCCTTAACCTGCGCAACTGCTCATCCTGCTCCCTTCGATGACGTTCTTCAAGCTCCCGACACCTTTCTTCATCTTTCTTCTTCCAATCACTTATACGATCTGGTGAGCTATCACTAAAAGAAAAAAATTGAACCATTAACAGATAACACTTTGCATTATTACACATGTGTGATGTTTCAGCATCTAGCAAATTTGCTTATGCAGAAAATCATTTAAGTTTATGCTCTCCTATTAGAGGTCGGTGTAATTTGTCATTACAGCCTCTGAAATAGTTAACCTTGGTTCAGGAATAAAAAACATGGTGTTGCAAATACTATCCATGTGCACCAATGGTGACCATTTCACATTCTAAGCACCAATCAGTGCAATTTTTAAGTCTATGTGACTCTGGCTGGAATTAAAGTGTATCTAAACCACCCCAAAAAAATGTAGTATTTTGCAGCGTGCCAATCCTTACTGCGTTCCATTTTCTTTTTCAGGATTTTTTAAATCTTTATTTTTACCTAGTGATCCAGCCAGTAACAAACTTCTTGTCTTAGTCCCCTTTTACACTTGGGTGTTGCATGAACGTGCGGCAAAGCATGCACATTGGCAAATTCTGATCTGCGCTTGTGGACAATCACCCGTGCGTCTATTTGAGCTGCTGTGCTAAAAGGTGTAACTCCGTTTCCATGATGGATGAAAAAAACATTGCACTGCACTACAAATACACAATCAAAGATGGTTATCTTGTATTCCTTCCATTTGCGAATAATAGCTGCAACAGTCGTTTCCTTCTCACCAAGCTTATTGCCGATAGTCTTGTAGCCCATTCAAGCCTTGTGCAGTTCTACAATCTTGTCCCCAACATCCTTTGACAGCTCTTTGGTCTTGACCATGGTGGTGAGGTTTGAATGGAAGAAAGAGATTCTGTGGACAGGTGTCTTATATATACATAACGAGTTGTTGTTAAGAGCACCTTCTTAAATTGACAGGACTAATCTGTGTACCACATAGCCAGTCTGTGGGAGCCAGACTTATTGTTGGTTGGTAGGGGATCAAATACTTATTTTACTCCCTGAACTGCAACTCAATTTATAACATTTGCATCATGTGACCGGTTTATCTTCTTCTATTATTGCCAATTTGAGCCCCTACTTTCCCTGCACTTTTTGAGGACCTACAATGCCACTCTAGATGGGACCATTATGCCCCTGGATTCGATGGGGGCACATATTACTGTGATCCCCAAAATCGACAGGGGTCACTCTCAATATGGGAGTTACAGCCCGACAACCCTTCTCAATGTGGACCTTAAGTTGTTTGCCAAAATACTGGCCAACCGCATTTTGCCCTATATTGTAACTCTGGTTAATTTTGACCAGGTCAGATTTGTCATGTCTCGCAAGGCCCGAGACAAAACCGTCTGCGTTCTAAATGGAATTAATTCTGCGCGTAAATATGCCTGCCCGTCGATGCAGAGAAATGTGTACTCTAATTTTGCATGATGTTTCAGATTGCTAGATTTTGTTTAGGTTACATCTTATTTCTGTTATGACAGTACCAATAAACGGAAATTTTATTTAAAAAAAAAAAAAGTAAAAACAAAATTTAAAAAATATAATTAGGGATGCACAGATACCGATACTAGCATGAGTATTGGTGCCGATCCTGAGTATCTGGGCGAGTACTCATACTCGCCCAAATGCTCCAATACTTACATCTGATACTGGAACTTCAGGACTAATCAGGAAGTCGGGTAGTGGGTCATGAGATGCTGCCCGGCTCCCTGATAGGCTGCCTAGCTTTCTGAGCAAACAAGTGATGCCAGCTTCCTAGCCAATCAGAAAGCTGGGCAGCAGCTCATGACACGGCACCCAGCTTCCTGATTGGTCAGGAAGCCAGGCAGTCTGGGGAAGTGAAGCTAGTGTTCTTTTGATGGAACACTGGCTTCCCAGGCAATCAGGAAGCCGGGTCATGATCTGCCACCCGGCTTCTTGATAATCGGGGCACACAGGAACGGTAACGGTATTGGTGTGTACCGAAATAAATAAATAAACATTGGTACTCGAAAGTGGTGCATCCCTAATAATAGAATACAAAATAATAATTTTTTCCTTTGGGGGATCCACACAACTTAGCATATGTTACCAAGGAGTCCCAGCTCTAGAAAGGTTGAGAACCACTGCTCTAAGAGCAGGATGGGACGCTAACCCTGAGAAGGGATGTATGTATACAGGCAGTGGGCCAGACTTTTATACTGAGAAGCTTTTGTTTTGTTTGCTGAAGAAAACCGGTTTCCGTTTGAGCATTTGAGAGAGAAAATAAAGACTTATTTTCCAATCACAGCTGGCTATTGATCAGAAATGCTCTGATTACAGTATGTTCAATTTCCAAGCTATTTTGGAGGCATGATCTCATAGTTACATAGTATTTGAGGTTGAATAAAGACATATGTCCATCAAGTCCAACAGTGTGTGTGTGTGTGTGTGTGTGTGTGTGTGTGTGTGTGTGTGGGTGTGTGTGTGTGTGTGTGTGTGTGTGTGTGTGTGTGTGTGTGTGTGTATGGGTCCCTGTGTCATCTCGTTATTAGGAGTACCCCTGTATATTACCGTTTCTCAGGAAATCGTCCAAATGCTTCTTGAACTAATCCACACTATTAGCTGAAATCGCTGCTTGTGGCAACGAGTTCCAGACCCTAACCGCGCGAACTGAGAAGAACCCCCTTCGCCCCTTGTGTTTGAATTTTTTTTCTACCAGTTTCAGGTGGTGTCCTCTAGTCTTTGTTACGGAATTAATCTTGAAGAGATTGTTGCTAATGTCGCTATGACTATGGAACATTTTGTACATGAAAATCATGTCCCCCCTTAATCTCCTTACTTCTAGCGTGAACATATTTAAATTTAGTAGCAGTGTCTCATAGCTCTTGTCCTCCATCCCTTTGATGAGTTTAGTTGCCCTCCGCTGGACTCCCTCCAGCTCAAGGACATCCTTTCTGTGTACCGGTGCCCAAAACTGCACCGCATACTCCAGGTGGGGCCGAACCAGTGATGTGTAAAGTGGCAAAATTATAGACTTGTCCCTTACTTACATCTCTCTTTACTTATCTCTACAAATAATCAATTTGTGTACCAAGATTTATACTGCAAATTTATTTTGTTAAAAATTGAATTTTTTTTAAATAAATGTATTTCTTTGATATTCCTCCTTGGAAAAGTATAACAGATACACAAGAGTAAACACCGGTTGAAATGAAACTATAGTAGTATTTGGTGACAAGGAATTCACCTTTACATCCTCTCAAGAGAAAAGAATGCCTGCAGGACTTTTTAATAGCAGGAATACCCAGTCCTACTAAAAAGTAGAGAAACCTATTATAGAGTTATCTCTAATTTGAAAATATAAAGCTTACCTGTCACTGTTCGAAGAAGTTGTTGACTGGCTTGCTTTGGATGACTGCCCATGAGGTTTTGAAACAGGTTTTCTCACTACTAGAAAATATATGAAATACAGTGGTAACCAACACAGTACTTTCAGTTTAAAAGGAAAAAAAAAAGGGAGTGATATATTTTTCTTACATGCTCTGGAAGTTTTTGCCGCTTTCTTCACAGGCTTTTCTGAGGAAGATGAAGACTGCTGCTTATGATCTGTGTCTGTATCAGAGCCAGATTTTGAATCAGATTCATTCATAATCTGCTACAGATGAAAGAGGAAAAAAATAAAATGAGTTCATGCAAACAAAAAACAAAATGTAGAAATGTGTTTGTTTGTGTGTATAATATATATTAAATACAAATATATACACACACACACTCAAGTAATACATATATAAAACATTCAGAATATGGGTGAGCTGCACTGGGAAAGTAATGCATGTACAGTGGGGTGCAAAGCATCAGATGGGCTCCAAAAACTGTTAGGAATTAACAGTATGCAAGGACAGGTTGCTGCATAACCAAATGGCAAATCCACACAATGGGTTTATTTTTCTGCTGCAGGGCAAACAAAAAATGGTCACTAGCACTCCAGGTTTTCTTCAAAACGAAATCCTTTTATTCATTCTCACAGGTGTGGGGTTATTACTCCAGGGCTAGTATTGCTGGAACAGGATACTTCCCCTGGCTGCCAGGGGAGTGACTGTTCCGGTAAGGAAGAAAGGGTAAAAGGCTGGCAAGCAGAGACAGATACTGTTGGTAGGGGATTATTACTGAAAAGACAGACATGGTCATTTGTATCTGGGACCGCAATTGTTGGACAGTAAACGGTTTACCAGGTTTGACACAGATTGGGTGGACAGGTTGTTGGGAGGGGCTGGGGAATCCCCGGCTGTCATGGTACATATTGGTACTAAAGTATGATGTAGTGTCTGAAAAAATGACTTTCTGTAGGACAAGAAAATTACCTCTAAGGTAGCATTTTCTGAAATACCGCTGATGCCACAAGCCACACCGGAGAGGCAGCCAGAATTAAAGGAGAACTATGAGGTGAGTGATTTTCACTCATCCTCATTGTTAGAGCCGATGTGTGACAATTAAACGGTCACGTCGGCTCCATTGATCGGGAAGTGAGCGAACGCATACCGTCACTCACTTTCCGATCATCTCCCTGCAGAGAGCGGTGACGGTCAGTCACTGCTCCCCACAGAGATTCCCCCTCTCCGATCCTCCAGTGCTGACTGACAGTGGGCTCTGCCCCCTCAATCAACCAGCTGGTTGGATCTCGACAGTATTGTCGGAATACGTCCTGGCTGCGGCGCTCTCAGTATATAGCTCGCTATATATTGAGCTTTGGGTCACGGGAGGACGTTAGTATATGTCCTCCCGTGACCCTTAAGAGAAGTATGGGATAAAAAGGTTACCCCATAGTTCTCTTAAGATGAAGTGGCTGGGGGACCAGAGTATGAAAAAAAGTGTTTCGTAGGGATGTCCCAATACCGTTACTATTATGGGTATTACGGCTGATTACAGGGAATTTTCACGAGTACTTGTACTCTTAAAAATGCCCCGATACTAAAGGCCGAGATTGGCTGCCTGACGTTCAACGCTTGTGGGGACCTGGCAGTAGCGGTCTTTGACAGTGCCTGCCTGGTCCCACATCTCCTCCTTCCCGATGCAGGCACAGCACCACACCCACACATACAGCCCCGGAGTTGGCACTCACTCGTTCAGCTCACTACCCACCATTTCAGGCAGGCACCCGCCCACAGAGCCCTAGAGAGACCCCCACAGGCAGCCCTGGTGAGATCTGTATGCAGCCCTGGTGAGAAACTGCCCTAAAATCAGTAGTCTGTACTGTTTTAGAAAAAAAATCTCATGTCCCCTTAAGAAAAAGTATTGGTAATTGGTATTAGCGAGTACCGGAGGGAAAGTAAAGTACTTGTACTTGGTCTTGAAAAAAATGGTATAGGGATATACCTAATGTTTGGGTTCATGAAAAACTGGGCTGAATTTTCAGTTTGTTAACGGTCCTACAACAGAGACGGGCTGCATCTAAATGGGGAGGGAGCAGCACTGTTGGGGGAAAATGGTTAGAAGACTGGAGGCAATTTTAAACTAGAATATGGGGGAGGGAGAGAACGCAAATGAGCATAACCTAAAGAGAGGAAGGGTCAATGGGGACAGTTAATATAGGAGGTGGTGAAGTGAAAGGTGGCTCGAACCAGTCAGTCAGGAATTAACATCACCAATGTCCAGTACAAAATTGTCTTGAGGAAATTGCCATTTAGGAATGTGAGAAAATAAAAATACATAACACTAGTACTAAATTAAAAAATGTATGTACACAAATGCTAGAAGTATAATAAACAAACTGGAGGAGATTGAACTCTGGTACTTCAGGAAGACCTTGACTTTGTGGGATTATCAGAAACCTGGCTGGACAGCTCACATGACTGGGCTGCTAACATACAAGGGTACACCCTGTTGCGGAGGGACAGAGTTGGTAGAAAAGGGGGAGGGGTATGCTTGTATGTGAAGGCAATCTAAAAGTGAACGTGAAAGATGGCATTAGTAAGCGGCGGAAATATCCGAAGGTCCCCTGTGCAGTGGCGTCTGATGTCTTGTATCCTGGTCTTAGTGATAGAGAGTGTGCGGGATGGTGGGCTGCAGGTCTCGAGCACAAGTCAGGTTTTTAACATGCACACGTACTCAGCTGGCCAGGCTGAGACGCGGCAGTTGGAGGAGGAAGAAGCGCCGCAAACGGCTAACCGTTACTGATTGTCGTATAACCCCACTGTGTGACGGGACGGAATGCCGGGGGTGATCGAAGTGCTGCGCGACTGATGAGAGCTGTGGGGGAAGAGCTCTCACAGGATCGGTGGCTACGCGTTTCGAGGTGTACCCTCTTTATGAAGCCTCAGTGTGCTCAAATGAAAACGCTCAGTTGAGCGAGGACTTTTGTTTTCTTATGCTTATTTTGCCTGTTGTGCCAGACCTATTAATAAAAAGGCAAAGGACTTTATTTTGTAACAAAATTGCATTATTGTGTGGTGTTTCCAACAGTGAAGACTGTGTGGTTAAAGATCCCAGGTCACAATATATACACACACACACACTCACTCACTCACCTTGGTTTTTTTCCGCCTTGAGGTTGCAGACTTCAGCTGTGTTTTAGGTTTGCTTGCTTCCTCTATAGTAAAATCCTGAGTAGAGCATCATTGGTTTTAGCATTAGAAAAAAAATACATTAAGATGACAAATTAAAAAAAGGGACTCTGATAGATAGACATCATACCCGTGTAACTTGTCACAGTGCCGAAGCATCGCCTCCAAAACAAATGCTCAAAACAAAACAAAAAAAACCATTACTTTTTTCTTTTTTTTTCTAGCAACCCAGTGCACCACAACAGAGTGGGAGGAACTTCTGGATTAACCTGGAGCAGTTGCCCATGGCAACCAATGAGCTTCTATTTTTAATTTTCAAAGCTTAACTTAAGAAAGAAGCTAGGTGATGGCCATGGGCAACTGCTCCAGTTTTGATAAATTCCCCTCAGTATGCAAATAAATGGCACTGCAGTATACAACACAGAGCAGGTGTGTCGCAGTAGGTATTACATTACTGCAAGGCAGAAGTGTAAAAATGTAGGCCTAAAAAAATGCAGATGGTCCACTACACTGCACAGGATCTTAAGTACTTTGAATAGGATACTTTTAAGAAATAAAGCAGCAATGTCTACATAGCAGGTGTCTGAGTTACATAAGATAAAACCCCTGAAATGGAGATTTCCCTCTACTAGAGGACTTCACTAAAATTATTTAAGAGAACGGCTAACACTTATGACTTGCAACTTCAGGTCTCACAAACAAGTTATGTAAGCAAGCATTTAAGTATGTTTCAAGATCTTAACTATGCAAAAGAACATAAGACAGCACCTTCTCTCTGTGATATTGTTTATTCTAAATTAAAAGTGCAAAGTATAAAAGCTACTCGCATATCACAAGTTGCAATGAGGATTGTATGAATAAAGTGCTGCAGCCAGGTTAACACTTTTCGGGGATAACTACCACTTCTTCAGAGCTAGGTTGCCGGAGACTCCAAGCCAGATATGCTGTGTGTGTGTATATGTGTATATGTGTATATGTGTATATGTGTATATATATATATATATATAATCACATACATATACATATATATACACACACACACACACACACAAACTGTATACCACTTGATAAGAAGTATAATAAGCCAATAGAACAACAAAAGAAAAAACTATTTACCTCGCACATTTTTGTGTAGCCAATAGAAGTGTATAACCACACGCGAGTCAGGACAATCAGCCGCTTTGATGGGAGCATATGTACAATAGATCGCCGCCATGAGGACGCCATACAAGGTTTAAATAAACCGGTAAGACAGCCTGCTTATTCTCTGTCTGTAGCACTATTTCCTGCTGGATCAGGTGAACTAAGCAGATTGTCATTCAAGCTTATAATCTAAAGCAGGGGTCTCAAACCCAAATGACCTGGGTATCCACTGGGCATGTTTTCTTCTCCCATGGGGGCAGAATGAGTAGTGGCAGCCAGGGGAGAGAGTGAGGAGATATGGTGGGCAATACATTGCTTGAAGCAGAACCCTGTGCACTTCAAGACTTGGCTGCACCCTGTGTTCCGGACACCGTACAATACAGGACTAAAAATTTGGACTACTGCAAAAGGTAGCCCCCTCTGTCCCCGGGCCTGGTACAAGAGACTAAGTTTCCTTACATTCTTCCCTGTAAGGCACACTAACCAAATCTGCTACCCAAATTTGCAAGGCTACTACCTGGACTTTAGTTCACACTTTTAAAGTAGTATTAAACTCTCAAACTTTTTTCAATCATGAATCCAGATTAAACAACATTGCCCAGCAAAAGCATAGCTTTACATTTTTGCCTACACACTTATGTTCAGAAACATCATGTTTCTGAACAGCTGCTTCCAAGTCTTTCAGCTCTTCAGCTCTGCTTCCCTGAAATTCCTATCCAGTACAAGATAACACAGAACAGTGTATATATACGTGTGTGTGTGTGTGTGTGTGTGTGTGTGTGTGTGTGTGTGTGTGTGTATATATATTAATTTGCATATACATATATACATTTACACACACACACACACACACACTTGATACAGGTACAACAATGTGCCAATAGAAAAGAAAAACCCACTCACCTCCCACATTTTTGTGTAGCCAATAGAAGTTTATAACACGCGTGGCTCA